CGCGTTTCTTTTACATTCTATTAACCTTTTCTCTTGAAAAAAGATCAGTCTCAAAATGTTGTCAAAATTTTATTTGATCCTTATTACCATTCTAACTTTTACAATCATTATCGACCCTGCTCTTACCATGCCAACTAAACATCTGAATAAACGAAGTATAGGTTCATAATATTTTCATTATAAAATTTCAATAAACATATACAGTCGTCTTCTATAATCACACTGATGTGCTTATAAATTTTAATAGTAATATGTTATATAAAATGTTTAATAAATACAGTATATTGCTAATAATTTTTCAAAAAATGACGCTTATAAAGAGGGTAGCGAAGGACGACTGTACATATTAATATTAATTAAATTATTAATTTATAAAGCAAATTTCTCTAACTATATATAACTTAAATTATTCATTGAATTTTCAGACGGTAAGTATAAAATTGAAGCTTTACCATAATATATAATTTAATAAAACTTCTCTAATTATTTATATAAATTAAAATATTAGCCGGTGAGTTTAAAAATTGAAAAAAAATTTTAATAGTTTATAATCGAATAAAACTTTTCTGATCGATTATATATAAATTAAATTATTAGATTGTAAGTATAGAATTAATTTACAACGTGAATCTTTACAATTGAATAAAACTTCTCTAATCTATTATATATAAATTATTAGCGCGTAAATATAAAATTAATTTACAAATTGATTCTTTATAATTGATTCAAATTTCTCTAATCGATTATATATAAATTAATTCTTAGATGGTAAGTACACGTATAAATTAATTTATAAATTAAAACCTTATAATATTAAATAACTGAATAAAACTTCTCTAATCGATTATATATAAATCAAATTATTAGTCGGTAAGATAAACTTAAATTATAAATTGAACCTTTATAATTGAATAAAGTTTTTCTCTAATAGCTTATACATAAATTAATCCTTAAATTAATTCTTAGATGGTTAGTACAGCATAAATTAATTTATAAATTAAAACCTTATAATGTTAAATAATTGAATAAAACCTCCTTAATCGATGATATATAAATGAAATTATTAGGCAGTGAGTGTAAAATTAATTTACAAATAGAATCTTTATAATTGATCAAAACTTCTCTAATTGATTATATATAAATTAATTTTTAGATGGTAAGTACATGTATAAATTAATTTATAAATTGAAAGTTTGTAATATTATATAATTGAATAAAACTTCTCTAATCGATTATATATAAATTAAATTATTAGTCGGTAAGTAAAAAATTAATTTACAAATCGAATCTTTATAATTGAATAAAACTTCTCTAATCGATTATATATAAATTAATTCTTAGGTGGTAAGTACACGTATAAATTAATTTATAATTGAAACTTTGTATTATTAAATAATTGAATAAAACTTCCCTAATCGATTATATATAAATTAAATTATTAGGATGTAAGTATAGATTAATTTACAAATCGAATCTTTATAACTGAATAAAGCTTCTCTAATCAATTATATATAATTAAATTATTAGTCAGTGAGTATAATAAATTGAATCTATATAATTGAATAAAGCCTCTCCTAACTGATTATATACAAATCAATTCTTAGGACGTAAGTATAGATTAATTTACAAATCGAATCTTTATAACTGAATAAAGCTTCTCTAATCAATTATATATAATTAAATTATTAGTCGGTGAGTATAATAAATTGAATCTATATAATTGAATAAAACCTCTCCTAACTGATTATATACAAATTAATTCTTAGATGGTAAGTATATGTATAAATTAATTTATAAATTAAAACCTTATAATGTTAAATAATTGAATAAAACCTCCTTAATCGATGATATATAAATGAAATTATTAGGCAGTAAGTGTAAAATTAATTTACAAATAGAATCCTTATAATTAATCAAAACTTCTCTAATCGATTATATATAAATTAATTTTTAGATTGTAAGTACATGTATAAATTAATTTATAAATTGAAACTTTGCATTATTAAATAATTGAATATAACTTCCCTAATCGATTATATATAAATTAAATTATTAGACAGTGAGTATAAAATTAATGTCTTTATAATTGAATAAAACTTCTCTAATCGATTATATATAAATTAAATTATTAGTCTGTAAGTATAGATTAATTTACAAATCGAATCTTTATAACTGAATAAAGCTTCTCTAACCAATTATATATAATTAAATTATTAGTCAGTGAGTATAATAAATTGAATCTATATAATTGAATAAAACCTTTCCTAACTGATTATATACAAATTAATTCTTAGGTAGTAAGTATAGATTAATTTACAAATCGAATCTTTATAACTGAATAAAGCTTCTCTAATCAATTATATATAATTAAATTATTAGTCGGTGAGTATAATAAATTGAATCTATATAATTGAATAAAACCTCTCCTAACTGATTATATACAAATTAATTCTTAGATGGTAAGTATATGTATAAATTAATTTATAAATTAAAACCTTATAATGTTAAATAATTGAATAAAACCTCCTTAATCGATGATATATATAATTAAATTATTAGGCAGTGAGTATAAAATTAATTTACAAATCGAATTTATAAAACTTCTCTCCTATTAATTATATATAAATTGATTCTTAGTACGTAAGTACACGTATATAAATTGAAACCTTATACTGTAATATAAATAATTGAATAAAACTTCTCTAATCGATTATATATAAATTAAATTATTAGTCCGTAAGTATAAAATTAGTTTACAAATCGAATCGTTATAATTGAATAAAACTTCTCTAATCTATTATATATAAATTAAACTATTAGAAGGTGAGTATAAAATTAATTTACAAATCGAATTTTTATAATTGAATAAAACTTTCCTAATCGATTATATATAAATTAAATTATTAGTCAGTAAGTATAAAATTAATTTATAAATTGAATCTTTATAATTGATTAATACTTCTATATAATTAAATTATTAGTCGGTGAGTATAAAATTAATTTTACAAATCGAATCTTTATAATTGATTAAAACTTCTCTAATCGATTATATATAAATTAATTCTTAGAGGGTAAGTACATGTATAAATTAATTTATAAATTGAAACCTTATAATATTAAATAATTGAATAAAACTTCCCTAATCGATTATATATAAATTAAATTATTAGCCAGTGAGTATAAAATTAATTTACAAATCAAATCTATCGAATCTTCATAATTTAATAAAACTTCTCTAACGAATTATATATAGATTAAACTAATAGAACGTACAGTAAGTATAAATTTAATTTACAAATCGAACCTATATGATTGAATAAACCTTCTCTAATCGATTATATATAAATTAAATTATTAGATGGTAAGTATAAGCTTAATTTACAAATCGAATCTTGATAATTGTATAAAACTTCTCTAATCGATTATATTTAAATTAATTATTAGCCCGTAAGTATAAAATTAATTTACAAATCCAACTTTCATAATTGAATCAAACTTTTCTAATTGATTATATATAAATTAATTATTAGTCTGTAAGTATAAAATTATTAACAAATTGAATCTTTATAACTGAATAAAACTCCTATAAACGATTATATAAATTAATTATTAGACGTAAGTACACATATAAATTTAATTTATAATTTGAAACTTTGTATTAATAAATAATTGAATAGAACCTTCTTTAATCGGTTGTATAGATAAATTATAAGAATGTGAGTATAAATTAATTTACAAATTGAAACCTTATAATTTAATAAACTTTTTAATTAATTTTTGTTATAAATTTTTAGATCAATAATTTTATAATAAATTTTATATTTGAATATAATTATCTATTTATTAAGTTTTTAAATATTTTGCTAGTAGCATTATATATAAACAATTTATCTATTATCTAAAGAAAATCTGTAAATTTTATTAATAAAATTACTATTGAATAAATATGAAATACATATATTTGAAATTTTTTCTTACTAAGTAAAATGATTTTATGTTCTAAATAAAGTTGTAAAACTTATTAAAATATATTTAATAGTAACAAGGCTAATAAAAATAATTATGAAATATGACAACTTGGTATAATAGACAAGTTGTCAATCTCAAGTAACAGATTTAATGTTCAAATTTCATAGATGATAGAATTTAGAAAATTAACTTATATTATAGTAACTGTCTTGGTGATTAGTTGAATTGCTGTATTTGTAATCTTAGGTACACTAAGTTGGATCCTACTAATATTGAAAGTTTAAAACATCTATATGAAGTATAACATTAGAAGAATGTTTATTAGTGTTGCATAAGACTTTGATATAAACTTATTATAAGATTACTGGGTATATAAGATTAAAAAACTAAAGAGATAAAACCTACTTGCAAATTTCTAAGTAAAAAGATAACACAAACTTTTGACAAACTATTAGGTTAATAGAAGTTTATAAACTTCTCCAAAAGGATAGGCAAATAAACCAAATAATAGATACATGAAGAACAATATGCATCAACCAGGTTACTAAAATTTCCAAAGAAAAAAGATACAGAAATATATCATACTAGACCATCTGGATTAGTAGTTCAGAAAGTCTTTTTGGTTTTGAATAAGAGAACTAATAAAAAATGATAAAAAATAACTTAGAAAAATAGATATTATGATTTAGTTGAACTTTCAAGTATATAGTAGTTTAATAGTTAACTCTAATTACAAAGGTTGAGTTTAATTTATGAGTCAATATAGTAGTTTAATAGTTAATTCTAATTACAAAGGTTGAGTTTAATTTACGAGTCAATATAGTAGTTTAATAGTTAATTCTAATTACAAAGATTGAGTTTAATTCATGAGTTAAACCAAATCTAGTCACTAGTGCTAGTACTAAATACATGATCACCATATAATGCAAATACATAAGTATATATGTTTGTTACACTTAATTATTTTGGGTTAAAATGCATTAACATTAACATTAAAAGAATTTTTTTATATTACTTTGCCTCTATTACTTCTAACAATTATTAGCTTGCCCATTAGTAATGATAAAGAATTGTACTTTGCAAAATCTGATAATTTTGATATATGCAATTATTTGCCAATAATAAGCAGTATAAAGTATGTTATTAATACTAAGTAACAATTTTAATAATTTATTACAAGATATTTCATTATCAGCACTTTTAAATACCTAATAAATTGGTTAAATAATGATAATTTTTAATGCCTTTATTATTAGGTTATACAAAATTAATTAATTGATTTTTATAACCCAGTCAGGTCAAAATTTAAAAGTTTATAAAAAAATTTTTTTATATGTTTTAATAACCGAGTGGGTTTTTAAACAAAATTTTTCAAAAATTTTATAAAATTTATATATGAAAAATTGAAAAAAAAACTGGCCAGCTGGGTCTGATCAAAAATTTTATGTTATGAAAACCAAGATATTAAATTTGTGTGGCCTTACTAAAATATTGCTAATATTAACCTTTTATTAGCATAATTATTGATAAATATATTTATAAATTTAAATAATAATAATAAAAATGCTAATAAAATGCTTAGAATTGCAAAAGTTTGTATTTTAATGATACATTATTAGTACCATTAAATTACTTATTTTTAGCAGCTTCAATTTGGATGATTTTTGCAAAATTGGTTATTCATTAATCTTGTATTCTATTAATGTATGCACTTGGTAAAAAATATTAGAGGATTATGAAATCAAAAATCAATTTAATTTTAGAAAGCTTGTAACAAGAATTTAATAAAAATTTCAATAATTATCTCTTATGGTTTATAGTTATAAAAAAATTATTAATATAAGTACACTAGAAGTTAGACATCACATATCATTTAAAATGTTGAAAAGAATTATAAAATGCTATTTTAGATTTCTCAACAATTAAAATAAGAACATGTTTACTATTCATTGCTCTGATACTTTATCGATACTTTACAAAAATATACAAATTTAGAATATACAAATAATTTGCAATAAAAAGCATTTAATACTTTATAAGCTTTTAAAGTTAATAAATTAGAAGTTCGATTCTAAATTAGTAAAATGTTTGACAATATTAAATAGCAAAATTACAGCTTTTTAAAACAAGTAAATTAAACATTAAATTATAAAAAAAATTATACCATTATTGTGACTAATTTATTTGTTTTATTAGGCTTTAAATAGCAAATTCTAAATGAGTAAATGTTGTAATATTTTAGGCACATTAAACAGCAAAACTATAACTTTTTAAACCAAATAAATTAAGTATTAAATTATAAAAATTTTAGCATTTTTATAACCAATAAATTTATTTTATTAGGCTTAAATAGTGTATACTAAAGGTAATATTTAGCATTAAATAGATCAAAAAAAATGTTATTAATATACCTGTCATGTCTACCAATGTTACAAAAATGAACAAATGGCAACGCCCACAGAAAAAGCAAGGGATAGGACTATAATATTTAGTCTGTCCCTTGTTTTTGCAGTGGATGTTCCCAAATAAGCTTTATTTTCTAAAAAAAAAATATTTATGCAGATATATATAATATAAAAGTATAATACATAGTAATATCTTAATCTTGTCCAATAGCAAAAATATGTATTTCTTATGTATTACTAGATATAGTATTGGAAAAGTGAAAATAAAAGTGAAATTTAAGAGATACATTGATCATTTCAATATTATTTAATCAAATCTACAACCAATCTTTATTTCTTACTAGATACGTTATTAGAAAAATGGAAATTTTTTTTGAAGTCTATTACATTTATTAAGAAGACCTATAAATATTAATTTTAATCTAATTCTAAAAGTTAAAATAAAAAAACTTGTAACAAATTATATCAAGACTACAAATAAATAAGGATAATTATTTTAGAAAGGCGTGAAATCATCTACAAGTGCTATCTTTTGTTAAAGTATAATTCCAAATGCGTAGGGTAAATAAATTTAAATGTAAATAGCATGAACATGCTTCTAGTGCTATATCAAATATTTTATTGTCTTATACTTAAGATTTTTTCAAGGTAAGGGATATTGGCAACGACTTTTAAAACAGAGCAGACCCTTCTTGCAGTCAGCAGCAGAATCACATTTTTCATAAAGACGGCAATCCCCTTTTCCGTTACCAGGAGTACAGCGTTTTATAAGATTACTAGATCGAACTGCCCAACAATAAATATATAGTAAAGAATTAATATAATGAGTTATAAATAAGAATAATTAATTTTAAATAGTTTACCTTTAAGAAGAGGTGATCCATGAATCACCAAACCATGAACAACGCAAATAAGAACTATAAGCCAGAAAAGATATTTCATGTCTTTTTTTAGAGTTTATTATTCTGTAAATGTTCTTTAGAGTTTATTATTATTCTGTGAATGATTTTTAGAGTCTAGGAAATTAATATCATATTTAGAAAAAAAAAAACAAAAGAGAACACCTATTTTCACCATGAAAATTTACATTTTAACCATTGAACAATATGTTCATCATGCTTATGTAACTGAAATTGCAATTGATATTTGATATCTATAACTGACATTCCTTATCTTGATTATCGAAGTTACACCTCATACAGGATATAATACATACATTAGTGTTACTATATTCGTTTCTTTTGGACCATTTATTTTTCGAACTTGGAAAAATCGATATTAACTTGATGACTTAGGAGTTAATGGTGGTTAATTTGTGCGTTCAACTCTTTCAAGGCCAGAGAACTTGGCATGATAACGACCCTAGCATGACCACCAAGATCAGTTACGTAATCTGTATTTAAAATTTTGATTACCCGAATTCTGACTATTTTAATATCAAATGCATAACCAAATAAAAAATGATTCAATAAAAAATTCCGAATTTTATCAAAATTCCAAGTTAATAATATTCTTGTTACAGAAATACTTTAAACAGTTTTGATCTTCTGGTATGAAAAAGTGTTCAACATAATTCTTTATTTAGGCAGTAAAATGCTTCTATCATTTACCATTTTTTGAATCAATATTTGTTAAAAAATTTCTTTTTTTTTTATTATTAAAAGACTTTTCAAGATTATGTGTATATCCAATAGCTTCTATATGAACAAGTACAATTAATATAATGTGTAATATACGTCGTAAAGGGTCTTTGTTATAATTTTCTGCAATATTTGGTTTTAGCATCTGCCTCATCACTTTAGCTATATTATTATATTCAGAAATGGTTGAATTCATATTCAAATAATCAATTGGTGTTAATGTACGTATTATCTTTTATTTGGTATAATAAGAGAATAATCGAATTTCATTGAATAACTATTAGAATTTTAATTAACGGGTATAATAAATAAATATATCTTTGAAGAAATAAACATCCATTTCCAAGAGGATCAATAAAAAAAACTGCTTAGTAAAAAATAAGACCAAAGAAATATGCATTGCTTATTATCTATTGACATTTTTCTGTGTTTTGATAGTATGTGTATTAAGATTTTCCACTCTTTTTTAAAATTATCACGCCCTGCGTTCCCTGAATCTATGCCTCTTTTAACCGTTTAATACTGATCTTTTTATTGTTGATTTTTTATGTATGCAAAAAAAATTTCTTTTATATTTAGATATGCAAAAAAGAAAACCAAAGTTTCTTTTTTTCAAATTGTATACGTATTAATAATACAGAAACCTGCCTATTAATCGTTAAAACTCCTTACGTAACTGATCTTGGTGGTCATGCTGGGTTCGTGATCAGACTCTAATTATTCATAAACTTATTTAAATTAGATCAAAATAGTTAATTTATATATATATTATAATTGTATAATAATTATATATACCCATCTATGCTAAAGATCAACTGAGTTGGACTAATTTATTTCTACGTATTACAGTCAAGAATTTTACCAGATATAGAAATTGATCTGAGACTATTCCAAAATCAATTTTTATTTGTGTTTTTTATTATCTAAAAAAAAACAAACAGTTTTAAAAAAATGGTTAAAATATTTTTGTGAAAGTTATTCTAAGAACATGTAGTCTAGGAATCCTCCGGGACCCTGTGGATTTAAAATCGGTTGTGCACCAATAAAAACACAGTCAATGATTGGCACAAATTTTGCTCAATAGAATTTTCCAATTGCAGTAATCTGAAAAATGAAAAATCACTAACTGTATTATGAAAGAAAAGAATGATGGTTTTTTGCTTGTCTATTTGAAGTTCATGTAGGACATGTGCGTTATTACGCGCAAATATGCCATAAAAGTTAAACTGACTTTTAATTAATAATTAGACGCATTCATTAATTAACCCGCTAGAATGTATGTTTAAAAAATTTAAGCGCTTTTGTATGGTTTAGTAAAGTAGTATAAAGTATTAGAGTATAATACAGTCAGACCTTTCTATAGTCTCCTCCTCTATAGTCACATTTGCTTATAATCACATAAATTTTTAATACCAACTTATATAACACTTATAAACTCTCTATAAGCACCAAATTCTTAAAACCAAGGGTGTGATTATAGAGAGGTTTGACTGTACATTAAATTAGCAAACATGTGAGTAAAACTGAGTATAAAGTAATGTATCATGTATAATATGCGAATGTATATAAAATTTATGCAAACATGATGACATAATGTTAGAGAAAACTAGACTTCAGGCTTTAAAACTTATAAAATCGGGTCAACAAATCCAGTGTTATCACTAATGGAGGGCGACTATCTGGTTTTATTTTGATGGCCAATGAAGTCATTCTTGGAACTCACCTTTTATAATGAACCATTTTATAATGAACGCATCTATACTTTGTAACAGTATAATAAATTTTTTAAAAAATATCTATTAGAGCCTAGCATCGGAAATAGTAAACTACTTCTATAAGGAACATTGAAATTTTTATTATAATGTCAGAGGTAAAACCGACACCTCATAGAACCTGCGAAATGGACGTCATTGTGGCATACTTACCTAATTAGAGGTGC